TTCTAAATAAAGTTACTCTTCAGCTTTATGTTAGTTCTGCTGCTCTCGCCATAAAAATTTTCTTGCAGGCTTGAGCGCTCAGAAGGTGCGTCGCTGGCTCTTTTGCAATCCCAAGCCCTTTGTTTATCCACAGAAAAATCTGTGGCTCTACCTACTTGCTGCATGCGAACATACACACACACACAGAGACACACACACACACACTGCTGCTTTTCCTCCCTCCTCTTGTACCCCAGCCATGCCCCGCGGGGTCCTACCTTCAGAGCTTGTGTTTACTGTAGAGGCTGGCTCTTGGAAGTTTGCCCTGCTTAGAAATCTTGCCAATCCCCTTGAGTTTCTCCTGTATGAAAAATTACCAAGCACCACCTGCCCAGAGAGTGGGAAAATGTGGGTGGATATCAGCAAGGATGCTGAACTGGGATGGAGAGCAAGCCTCACTAGCTCTGAACTATCCTTCCATCCAAGAAAGACCATGTCATAAAAGGAGGAAGACGAAAGGCAGTTGCATTGCAAAATATTTTTCTTACTTAATTCAATCACTGAAATGTTATAATCTGCCCTGGTATAATTCTCTCCATTTGTACTTGTGCAGTAGTTGCAAACATGCTGAAATATGAACTCATGCTTGGTAAGCCTTTAATTCCAGCTTTGATGTTTTTAATCATCAGGACAGATTTGGTAAAAATGATTCATTAGCTTGAAACGCATCTTGGATTACACGTGATGTTGTGGAGAATCAAGGAGGCAGAGACAGGGGACGACGGTTGTTCTTTGGGACGTTCTTTGTGCCTCATCTGAACGGTTTCTTGAAGTACGGCCCTGAAATCTCTCCCAGCCTCTTGGCCGTCCAGCCCTGGGTCCGGATGCCTCTGCGCTGGATCCATTTCTGGTCGGGAATCAAGCCGTCCTTGCTCAGAAGCATGTCAGCTAAGGATGTGGTCAGCGTGCTTGGGGCAAGGATGAGCACATGGCCCAGCTCCTGCAATAGGTACAACAGCAGCGGGAGAATTCCAGGGCTTGTTTGCCTTCCCTGCTTGCTCTCGGTCTAGAACCACTCCCTTAACCCTTGCTTTAACATTTTCACAAGCCTGCAACGTGCGTATGGTTTTGGGTTGATTTTTCCCCAAGCTATGGTCACCTACACCATGCTGAACTTTATCCTACAGTGACTGGAGAGGATTGAAAGCAATCTGGCTTCAGAACAGCGGCTTGGAGACAAATCCTCAATCCCATTACTTGTTCCCTGGCAGTCCCTTTCTGAAAATCAGGGACCGGGGATGTTACCGGAGTCTTCGAGGCTGCTGCCCAAAATGCATCACCCTTCTGAACCAACGTGTCTGTTGAATTCTGCCCCCACCATTACTGCAGTGGATGCAGTTACGTGAATATAAAGGTGCCTTTCACTGCCACCGCTATTTCCATATGGAAAGTGGGATTTCTGTTCCTGTGAGGTCACCTTTATACCAATATATTCATGTTAGAGGCCCTGATCACATCAACATTTTCAGATCCCCTTGCAGATCACCGTGAAGCCTGTGGGACATGCAGTGAAGCACTGCTTGATGCGAATGGGATTTTTACATTTTACATTTTTTCAAAGGATAAATTTGAGTGCAGTCAGACACTCTTGACCCTGCTCCGAGCTGGCGTGCCTGGGCCCTGCTGAAGGATGCCTTGGCCACAGAAACCTCTGCAGAGCTCTGTGGCAGGGGAAGGATTTCACTCAGTGCCGTCCTTTTGAGGACAAAGACAAAAACCCAAGGAAAATTCCAGAAGCAATCCAGCCCTGCCTCCATCAGAAAGGGAAGGGGGAAAGAGCGGAATAAACATTTTCTCACTATTGTGTGATGAAAGGCTTTTATCTCGAAGGCATGTTCTGAGCTGCTGAGGAGTAGATGCAACTCTTCCGAAGTTTGTCTGCAAGGCTGCTTCTTCTGTAACAAATTGTTAAGCAACAAGTACACGGCATATCCAGATCTCAAATAAGATAGGGACAGCCTCACAAAAGCTCTTTCAGATGTTCAAGGCTTCCTTTTGTGCTTTTCTTTTTTTTTTTCTTCCGTCTCTGACATCCAACTGCTGCCTCTCTTCTTCCTCTGTTCCTAATGCAGCTCGAGGAGTGGAAAGCAAGGCCGTGTGGCATAATGCACGCCGCTGCCACGGTGTGCCCCGTGGTACAGCAGCCTGGCTCGAGCCAACCTGCTTTTATCACAAATCCATTTTTACTAACCGCAGCGCAAACAGCATTTGCTGTTTTCTCACCTCTCCTCCTGCCGTGTTGTGTTTGTTTTTTTTTTTTTTTGTAAAGTCTCTTACTTGATTTCTCATGCTTTGTGTGGATTTTGTTTCCAGCTTGTGTGTTTCTTCTAAGAATTCTTTTTTTTTCCAGATTGAAGAAAACTGGACAGTATCAATGCTTCTCTTACTGCTAGGTTTGGTTTTGTTTTGAATTTTTTTTTTCTCCCCTGGAGGATTGTGTAATCATTGGATCCTTTTATTCTATACCTGTAAATAGACAAAGGAACTAGTACAGGGAGTTTTTCAGGGGTAGCAGTTCACAATTACCTATTGAAATGAATCGCACATGCAAACATGTTTATTCTAGCACAGAAATATCTACCCGCCCAGATTTAGTCTTCCATCTACTTTAAATTTATACTCTGGTTATTAAGAGTGCTTGTAAAAGTTAATTGAGAAAAAGGAAAAAAGAGGAATGTTTGTTCAGGTAAAGTTTGTTGTTTGAAGAGGCACCTGGACTGGGAGGGTTGTGGATATTGTGGAAGCAATCATATACGGGTAAGCCCTTAGGCTGGGAAAGGGAACATATAAAATTGGTCTGCAAAAAAAACCACTGAAGAAAATTCCCATGAGAAGAATCCTGCAGCAGATCAAGTCTAATGAAGTTACAGTAAACTCAGGAGTTACCATCTCCCAGATGAGCTGCCGAAGCTGTCTGCTCGTATTTTACCTGTCCAGCGTGAGGCAAAATGGGTTTGCTCGGCAAACGACACGGTGTTCAGAGGCAAGATAATTTCCTTGTTTGTGCTCGATGTTTCCTCCTTTCAACTCCAGCGAATCAAAGCCATTGTTCCAGAGAGGAGAGTAAAATGAGTTTGACGTGATGAATATTCATGCGCTCACTCCCTCCAATCTCTTTCCTCTTTCGCCATGGGAAGAGCTGGAGTGGATAGACATTTCTTGGCTCGCAGAGTAATGGATAAAGGTCTTGTCAGCAACTGACTTTTTGCTAATCCTTTTTATTATAGGAAGGATGTTTAGCTGGACTCCGCTCTCTGAACTAAGACTAGTTTAGTATGCTTTGACTTTAAGGTAGGAATTTCAGATCTGTGCTACAAGAAGCACAGCTGACTGGTATCAGTCATCCCAGTAGGAACTCCTGTGAATTTTGAGGCGCGTTCCCAACCCTGAGGAGTTTTGAAACAGACTACAAAGATTTGATATCTGCATCCTGCAGCATCCCAGAGAGCCCTAGAGCTGCTCGCACAAGGCGGCTGCCCTCTCAGTGCTCTGATGAACATCACAGATTTCCCCTAACTCGCCTCTTCTGTAAAGCTTGCAGGAAATTGCAGTCCGATAAGTTAGGCAAGTAGCAAGTCCTGTCCATTGTTCCTTATTGTTTGAGGATTGTTTACATCCCTTTTTTTGTTATCCCATCTCCCTGACTCTTCTCTGACCTTGCCTACTTGTTTCGTCCATTGTGTGTGGCTTTTGTTGTTGTTCAGGTAGTGAACTCTTAGGGACAGTCGTTAGCAAATGATGGGTTTATAAGGCCCTTAGCACACTGGGACCTAGTCTCTGTACTATTTTTTTTGGCTTTATTGATTTATTCTACCTAAATAATAATCATACCCTTTAAGCACAGTATTATGTGCACGCTCCCACTGTGGACTTGGGAGCAAGTAATGCAGCTTTCCAGATTTGGTGTGATCTGCTTGGGATTTTTTATGTCACGCTTCCATAAAATATTTCTTAAAACAGTGAGATTAAATAGCAGGATACTTCTGAAAACATAAACCCCGTCCTGAATATTGATCCCTGTGCAAGTTTTCTTCTCAGAAAGACTTGAATCTCGATCCTGAAACTCAGTGCAGAGTCAGATTAAATTTGCAAATGAATTTAGGATTTCATGCTTCTGTTGGCGTGAGTGGACCCGCTTTGGTGGGCAGGGCATGCTGGCCTGCTCTCGCCTTGCTCGGGAAAACTGCAGCGTGATTGTAGTTATTTTCAGAGGAGCACAGAGCATCCCATAGTCTTTTCCACTTGTGCAGAGATAGTGCTGATGTTCACCTCCAAATGCAGCGCTCTGGCTGACAAGTGCATCTGAGGCCAAGTGAATCGAAGAATGATGCTCTCTGCGCTGGGGAACATGTGCGAGAGGCATTGGGAAAACCAAGGAAATATTTACACTGGGAGGGGACTGTTTACAGTGCAGTGCAAACAGTTGACGTTATTTAGAGCAGCCAGTGCTATGTAATATTTTGCTTTTGCTCTTCTCACGAGGGTCAGGCATAAGGAAAGGATCAAATAGGGCTGGCAGGGCTGTCCTTGGACGGTAGAGAGTATCTAACAGCTGCAGTCAGGATAGGTGCTGAGAAGAATAAGCAACTGTGATTCAGTCTTGTGGTTGAAGTTAAGGTCAGGGTGGACTCTGGGGTAGTTGTAGCGTGGGGACACCAATGTTCATTGGAGATTTTGGCCCCACTATCTGATGTTTGGATGGTCTCTGAAGCCCCTGTGCGCTGCGGTGTGACGGGTTGTCAGTAGTGTGAAAGTATAATTTAAAAATTTGGAAGTCTCTGTTGTATTGGGAGAAGGGAATACAACTGAGGTACTGATGTCATGATGTTCTGTGTGGCTGTTGAGCTGGGAATTTGCGTTCAAACTGCTTCATGTTACAGTATCTTCCCCAGCATGCTTTGTAGGTATACCACATATTGTTTTAATTTAAAACCAGCCTGTCTCTCTTGTTCTGTTTTTAGCATGGCTGACAAGAACAGCACCCTGAAATGCACGTTCTCTGCTCCTGGCCACAGCACCACTCTACTGCAGGGACTGGCCTCGCTCCGAGCTCAGGCTCAGCTGCTTGATGTCATCCTCACTATAAATAATGAAGTGTTTCAGGTTCATAAAGTTGTCTTGGCTGCCTGCAGTGACTATTTCAGGTGAGAATGCGATAGGGAAGCAGGCATTTTTACCTTTCCCATTGGTTTTCTGTTTCCCTGTCCTCCCCCACCCCAACCTCCCCGCCGCCCCCCAGCGTCACGCGCAGCCCTCTGGGGGTTTGGCTTGCCCCATGGTGTCAGTGGGATTACCCACAGGCTCAGAGTCAGTCCCTCTGCACGCAGGTGAGGTTTGTTCAACTACAGCTGCTGGGCCAAGACTCAAGTTCAAGCCCAGGTCTTGAACCCACCTCGGCAGCAGCGGTAGGTGCGCTGCCTGTTGAAGGAAACAGCCTTTTGCCCTGGAGCTACTTGAGCTGATTGTGGAAGTGGCAGCGAGGGCTCTGAAATGAGTCATCCCGTTGAACGATGGTGCCCGTTGTAAATACACTCCCGTTATCTTTAAGTACCACTGAGCTGTCTGTAGTGCTCACTGTTCACAGGCTGAGGAGTGTGAAGCGTGCTGTGTGTGCCTTCCCCAGACCCCCGGGAGATAGGGGAGAACTGTCCCATCTTGTGTGGGTAGAAAACTGAAGCACAGAGATGAGTTTTCTCAGCCAAATTAATGCAGAGTGAGCCAACTGCAGAGCAGGAAATTCAGTCTTAAGTGAAAATATGTCTTCATCCATCTTGCCTCTGTCAAACTCCTTTGTAATGGTTCTCTGAGTTGGAATGACTTTCGAGTTAGGGGTCTCTTCTGGCAGCACCAGTAGCAGCGTCAAGTCGGGGGCGTGCTGGAGGCAGGGGGTGTAGGGAAGGTTCAAAACAACAGGGAACTCGACCTGGGCGTTGTTCTAGACTGCAGGTCTTAGCAAGCAGGGGTGGAGAAACGGGGTTTGCAATCCCTTGACCTTCCTGACCTGAGCAGACTGGTTTGCTTGAGCAGGTAACCAAGAGCAAGGGACTTCAGTGTCCCTTGGCGTGTCTCTTGTAGCCCTTCACCCATTTCTTCAGCTGCTCTGGTGATGTCTGTCTTATGTACACACATATTTTCTAGGCTGTTCCCTCCTCTCTCCCTCTGGTAACATAAACCTTCCAAGCTTATCGCTCTCCCTAACAGGCATGCAATTAATGATGGAGCTGATCTCCCACCAAATGCTAATAGCACTATTTGTATTCATAAATGCTGTATGCAGTGCCACTGCTAGTGTGTTTTCACTGTCGAAGTATAATTGCTGAGTAGGTTTCTTGTTATAACTTCTGTGGTGCTAAGGAAGGTTGTCCTGGGGAACAATGGCAGAATAATCTAGCTTTTGAAAATACTCTGTTTTTATGCAGAAGCGGGGGGAGGGAAGAGTGAAATTGAGGCATTTATATAATCAGCATTTTAGAACCATAACACTTTTTAAAGGAATTGCATTCTCGTTGATGATTTGTCTTCATCATGGCAACAATAACGCTTTTCTTTCCTTGTGCATGTTCAGCTCGGTGTAGCGAATGCATGAGTACACATGTGTCTGCATATCCTCTGGGGCAGGGGATCAGGGCAGCGTGCTGTGCTGTGACACGGGATATGCGAGGGGATTTTAGCAGAGTGCTCTCATCTGCTCTGCGGACACGTAATTGCGAACAGTGTTCCTGGTCACTCGGTTACAGAAAGCTGATTTCGTATGCAGATATTTCCTTATTTAGGTCATTTAGGATTTCTTGGGTTTATGCTGGACGGCAGCAGGTTTTCTAGCCTGGTTTGGACAGGAAACTTGGAACTCCTGGCTTTTGACAGTGTTCCCAAGGTATTCCTTTATTCCTGTGTTGATGCAGAAGAGCAGGGTCTGTTCAGCATTTTTTTCTGACTAACTTGCACCTTGGAGTCACTGCAGCTTCCTAAGGCAGCTCTAATGACACTGTGCCCTCACAGTGAATGAACCTTTCCGATGGATAAGAGTAGGGTATTGATGGTGGGAAAACCAGCCCCAAACATGCAGGCAGCAGCCAGCAGTTTCGAAGGCAGTTGGTACCTTGCTGTGATGTTTTTGTGTGGCAGTTGGCAGCTTTTGTGTGGCAGTTGGTACCTTGCTGTGATGAGTACGATGGCAGTGAACACTGAACTCCATGTCACAGATCTTCCAGCAACCTGTTTCAACTTTGGCTTCCCTAGAACTGCTCTGCTACTGCTTGTTGAATATTACACAGAGCGCAAACCTTTGCCCCCGAGTTACCCATATATAACGAAAACTGCTGAAATTTAATGTAAACGTATAAAAAACTAAATGTGCAGTTATGTCCCCATCACGCCGACAGGCCCCGTAGCTGGGGAATGCAGCACTGCTCTAGAAGAGTGGTTTATGGGATGTCTGCATGCAGCCCTTGGTGTGGTATGTGCTTCCTGTGGAATTTAGAAGCCTCCCAAGGAGGTGATCGAGGGCCTAATCTCTGCGTGGCCTGGTCAACTGATGTGCTTGCAGCTGTGCTGTAACAAAATATATATATTTTTTTTTTAATTGCCTGTTAGCCCCCTGCCGTCGTACTGCAACATGACAGACGTTTTCTGAAGTGGCTGCAGCTCCTATTTTCTGAAGGCGTTGGGAGTGAAACTTGGAGGGGAGGTTCTGTTGTGATTACCAGAGCTGTTCCTAAGATGTGTTGCATCTGCAATATTTAAGCCATTTCGTAGCCAGCCTACGGTATAATGGGCTGCCTGAAATCTTTGCATAAAGGCAGTCCTGCGGCCGAGCTCAGGGAATCGCTGCCATCCTAAACACACTTCCAAAGTGTATTCGTTATTTGTGCTCACAAATCCTGCATACTTGACCTCCTTAGGGTACGGTTACCAATCTCTGCTGGTGCAGATCCCGTTGTATCCTTTGGTTGTTGAATATCAGGGATTCACCGGTGTCCAGTGTACTACGTGCCCTGCTCTGGTAGCTCGACCTCCTTCTTGAAGCTTTGTCCTGTGTTCTATTCTTACTTACACTGCCAGTGGGACTGACAAACTTAACTTTCTGATAGCTGAATGTTACTTCAGTGCACTGTTTATGCAAGGTTTACATAAGTAATTTCATACTCTGATTTCTCCTGGCTTTCAGAGCTTTAGCCTTGATTTATTCCCCACCTTCCCCATCCTCCCTAAGAGAATTAGTATGTTTAAAAAAAAAAAAAAAAGATTCTGAAGCGATACATCATTTTACATGTATTTAAAAAGGGGGAAAATTTTTGTTTGTGTTCTTGACCCCCAGGGCAATGTTCACAGGCGGGATGAGAGAAGCCAGCCAAGATGTGATCGAACTGAAGGGTGTATCTGCAAAAGGACTGAAACACATAATAGACTTTGCGTACAGCGCTGAAGTGACTCTTGATCTTGACTGTATTCAGGATGTGCTGGGAGCTGCTGTCTTCCTCCAGATGGTGCCTGTCGTGGAGCTCTGCGAAGAATTTCTGAAGTCTGCCATGAGCGTAGAAACGTGTCTCAATATCGGGCAGATGGCCACCACCTTTAGCCTCGCATCCTTGAAGGAATCAGTAGATGCATTCACTTTTAGGCATTTCCTCCAGATCTCTGAGGAAGAGGATTTCCTCCACCTGCCGCTGGAGCGCCTTGTTTTCTTCTTGCAGAGCAATAAGCTGAAAAGCTGCAGTGAAATAGATCTCTTCCGTGCTGCCGTGCGCTGGCTGCAGTACGACCCGACCCGCCGTGCCAGCGCCAGCCAGGTCCTCTGCCACATCCGCTTCCCGCTGATGAAATCCTCGGAGCTGGTGGACAGCGTCCAGACCTTGGACATCATGGTGGAAGACGTCTTGTGTCGGCAATATTTGCTGGAAGCGTTTAATTACCAGATCCTGCCCTTTCGCCAGCACGAGATGCAGTCCCCTCGGACCACCATCCGCTCAGACGTCCTGTCCCTCATCACCTTCGGGGGCACTCCCTACACCGACAACGACCGCACCGTGAGCTGCAAAGTCTACTACCTGCCGGATGCCAGCGCGCGGCAGTTCAAGGAGCTGACGGAAATGGAGGTGGGCAGCAGCCACTCCTGCGTCGCCGTCCTCGACAACTTTGTCTACATCGTCGGAGGGCAGCACCTGCAGTACCGCAGCGGCGAGGGGGCCGTGGATATCTGCTACCGTTACGACCCGCACCTGAACCAGTGGCTGCGCATCCAGGCCATGCAGGAGAGCAGGATCCAGTTCCAGCTCAACGTCCTCCACGGGATGGTGTACGCCACCGGCGGGAGGAACCGCTCGGGGAGCTTGGCCTCCGTAGAGAAATATTGCCCCAAAAATAACGAGTGGACTTACGTCTGCTCCCTGAAACGCAGGACGTGGGGGCACGCTGGAGCCACGGTAGGAGACAAATTGTACATATCGGGTGGGTACGGCATTTCAGTGGAAGACAAAAAAGCCCTGCACTGTTACGACCCCGCCGCGGATCAGTGGGAGTTTAAAACCCCGATGAACGAACCCCGAGTTCTGCATGCCATGGTCAGTGCAAATAACAGGATTTACGCGCTGGGAGGCCGCATGGACCACGTTGACCGTTGTTTTGATGTTTTGGCTGTGGAATATTACTTGCCCGAAACAGACCAATGGACAACGGTGAGCCCTATGCGTGCGGGTCAGTCAGAAGCCGGCTGTTGTTTACTAGAAAAAAAGATTTATATCGTAGGAGGGTACAATTGGCATCTGAACAATGTCACAAGCATTGTGCAGGTGTATAACACGGAAACTGATGAATGGGAAAGGGACCTGCATTTTCCAGAATCCTTTGCCGGGATAGCATGTGCTCCCGTTATACTCCCGCAGGTGACGACCCAGAGATAACCACGCGCCACGGCGACGGCCCGTGAAACCACCTCGTGTTGCATGTTATCAGGATGCTCTGTTGTTCCTCTGTTGTTTGCAAATGGTATTGTGCATTTTGTGGGTGAGGGAAGGAGAAAAATAGCTTGCGTTCCCTCCTCCATAAAGTCCCTCCTCCTCTTATGTAGTGTTCTGGCAAGCGTGTTTCATCAGAAGCACTTGTCAGCTAGTTAGACTTAACAGATGTTACAGCTGGGAAAAGCTTTTCTCTTTTTTTTTTTTTTGTGATTGGGGGGTGCATTTTGCCAACTTCTCATATTTTTAACAACGTTACACCTTGCAAACATTGACAGCTCAGGAGTAACTAAGTACTGTGGTCTGTTTAAAGGAGTTCAGGTGTGATTTTTATTAATAGCTCCAAAAATCATTGTATGTCGCTTCGTTGTTTTTTAACAAACAAAAAAAACCAAAACCTGTATAACATACTGACCTCCAGAAGCAATAAAGGGACAGTGGGAGCTGGAAGAGCTCAGGTGCTTGGATTATGGAAGCATATTCTTGCTTTTCAAAGGTGACTTTTTTTTCTTTTTTTTTTAAACCCGCCCTAAAAGGGGAGTTTTTATCCCTGCACCCCTCTGGGCTCCGTTGGTTTTTCACTGCTTGGATTACGCTGCAATTCCAGCAGCGTGATGCTCTAGTCCAGAAATTCTCCCTTAATTGGGGCATCCAGAGTTTGCAACACTAAAAGCCATGTTGATAGCTTGATTACATATAAACGGGCATGATTTTTTTTTTTTTTTTAGAACTGCCAAAAATTTGTTTGGCTTCCCTGGCAATAAGAGCTCTGCAGCTGTTGGTCCGGGCTGACCTGCTGGAGCAGAGTGTGCCCCGAGTTTCTGGTTTAGGACCAGTCCGTGCTCAGCCAAACTTGGTTTGTACAATAAAGGAGGTGGGTGCTACTTGTTCATAAGCCTGAAGGTTTTCTCCCTTGACATGTAAATAAGATACTTGGCATCATGATATGATGGAAGTGTAAGTGGAATGGGGTGTTTTTGTTGTTGTTGCCAGTGGGTATTTAAATGAAGACATTCATCTTAAGATGACTCTTGTCATTTTTGTAAAATCTGTGTTTACTGCACAGAATACTGTTACTTCCTGACCTTTCCTTTCCTCCAAGCCATTTTTTTTTCTAATTAATTTGACTGATTAATGAATTAAAAGTTTCTCCTTTTACCAGGTATTCTGTTTCAAGGGCTTTGTTTTGTATCTGTGTAAGTTTGATTTTGATGTATGCACTCTTCTTTTTAGAGAAACTTGCATTCTGCTGTTAAATAAATACTGTGCTGTAACCCTTAGAGACAATATGTAATGTCTGTTTTGCTAATGAATCATCGATCAGGTCTCTGTAAAGCATGAACTCCATACCTCAGATTCACTTAAAGGTCTTTTTTGTCTGATAATGAAATCAAAGCACCTTTGGAGATATGGTGAGGGCACGTGCTCTCTCTGTTAAGCTCTGCATCCTCAGTTTTAGGTAAAATGATGCATAGTTTCATCTGTTCCTATCTATTTGCTGATTTGCCAGTAATAAATTAATGAAAAGTACTTGTTGTTGTTTAGTATGCTAAAGTCAGTGGGCAAGCTCCTCTTTCTAGCTCTTAGGCAGTTAATTTACTCCATTCTCTGTTCATTTGGTCTGGCATAGACGCTAGAAACACTGCAAAACAGTCTTGGCAGATAAAAAGCAAATTTTGAAAGGATGAAATGTAACTTGATACAAGCTTCAAAGTTACAAAAGAATGGATTTTCTTTTTTCAATGCTTCCATATGTTTATGAAAAGGGTACTTTCTCAGGTTAGTAACAAATGGAAGGTTACTTGCTTTCCTCTTTGCGGAATATGGTTAATCCTCTTAAGAGTATGTCATTCCTTCATCACTGCCTTCCTCAAATACTGAAGTATTTTTCGCTATTTTATTTAAGTTTTCCTACCAAAAGCATTTCTATAGCAGCAGTTGATGGTTTGGGTGTTCTCTAATAACTGAGTCTTTCTGAACGTGCAACCGTAGCGTTCGTAAGCCACACCACAGCAGATGACTGGAGAACCCATGCGATGACCATAGTTGGCATCTCTTCCTAAGGAAACTGTGCTTTATTTTTCACTTCGAGCTTCTAAGGTACGTTTGTGCGTTGCGGAGTAAAGGGGGGGAAAAAAGAAAAATCCTTGGAAAAAAATGAAAAACCATGTTTGGTCTCACTGTTAAGGTCAGCCTTCCAAAACCAAACATAACCTCTGTATTCCTCCATATAGGAATGGTGGCTTTGCAGATGGGAGGAGACACAAAGCCATTCTGTAACTGTATTTAATAAACTGAGCAACTGTTTCCCGCCGTGTGGCAAACTGGCCCGGTACTGGTGTTGCCATTCCCTGGCAATGTGGAGCGGGAGCTGGGAAAGTTTTACGGATTCTTTCACTGAGACTTGTGACAGAGCACTGTCGTGCACCACCTCTCTTTGTTACTGGAATGTTCTTTTTATAACAAGATAAAGAATTATTTTTCATAATGTTAGCTAGGAGTATTCTTGCCATTCTAAATTTAGCGGAGACTGACTAAAATATTTGTGGAAGTTTGTATCATTCATATTGATAATAAAGTTTGTTTTCCCCCTGTGAAGGATGGAGTTGTGGCTCTGGGCTGTTCTGTGCATAACCTATCCCTTATCTGGAAAATAAACAGGTTTGATTCTTCTGCTGTATTGCAACAACTTGGCTGCTAGAGGAGGGTCTTCACATAAATATTGAAGTGATCGTGCTCCGTGGCAGGGTTGGAGAAAGCGCTCTGCAGGATGCCCCGCCTGAGAAGCAAGTGGACTGGGCTCCTCTCTTCTTCAAGAATGAGCAAAGCCAGATAAATGTTTGATTGCGCTCGGAGTCATTTATTAGTCTCAGAGCAGCAATAAACGTTACAGGGGTAAACCTGATTTGGTACATTTTAAAATACCCTTGAACAGATGGGGAACAGTAAAAGCCCAGCATCGTTAGTTCTAGGTATTTGCGGAGTATGCACGTCCCATTAGGGACTCCTGTCAGGGCCAGGATAATAGCTTCTGTCTTCTCTGATGTTTTATGGGCCTGAAATTGTACTTAAAACTATAAAGAAAGCGAGCACTAGACCTCTTGGCAGGGCGCAGAATAGCTGGAGATGGGGAATGTCTGCATCCTATTAATGGTGTCATTGACCCTTTTCCAGAGGGTCTGTCGGCTCGGCAATCCGACTGTCATTTCTCCCTACCCTAGAACCTCGCTAATTCGCGCAGACGGGTCCCAGCTTTGGTACCGAGGGCTTGGAAGTTTAAATAGCAGCAGCCAATTTCATTTCCTTGATTTACAATGAAGGAAGGCACTCCCACTAGCTCTTAGTACCCTGGCGCTGATTTAAAACGATGCTGTGCAAGAGAACTGCTCGGGACCTCGCGTAAGCCACATCAAACCCAGTCAGACGTTTCCACTTCCATGTCTGTGATAAGGTCTTTAGTTGCTGAAACTCTGCAAACTTTAGGGACATTTATCATGTTAGGATTATTGAAGCCAGACTACTGTCAGAATAAATAAAACATGTTTCCCAGTGCAACTCTAATTATGATTTTTAGCCAGTTGTGTAATGTGCAGAACTTTATTTACAATAAATCTTCCAGTTGCTTGCATAAATGAATGAGATTTCATCACTTGTGACTTAAGGACCAGGAAAAGTTAATGTGGCTGAATAAATTTACAGTCTAGCCTGGGTGTGTTGGCATGTCAGGCGAGTGAGGGAGCAGAGCCGGCTAGTGTTGCCTTCCTAAGAGGACTCAGCTCTCTTGAATTTCACCTGGGAGCAGATATATATCACACAGACATCTCTCCAAGTTATTTTTTACAGAGACAGCTTAGATTCTACTTTGCATCTTAATGGCGAGTAGGCACAGCATCATCCCCCAGACTCCAGAACTTTTGTTTCTCATTCCAAACTAATAACTGAGTTTCAGTAACACAGGTTTGGCACTTTTCAGCTTACTGTTTTCAACTTTCGGGAGTTGCACAGAGAAGTTTTAATATTTATTTGTGGGGCAGGTACGTTTTCAACATTGAACGTTCCGTAAGATGAACACGAAATGTGCTTTCTGCTTGGAAACAACTGCCAGTTTAGCTGTGCAACCTGAAATTACCTTCAGATTGTAAGACAAAGGGTAAAGGTTTAGTAGGGAGCAAGGGTGGGGGCCTGCAGGAGGGCAGCACTGAAGTAGTGTGTGCAGTTTGCAATGGAAAGTAGAAAAGCTGTTAGAGCAAAAGTTACCAGAAGGTTTTATAAGCTGTGGAGAGCAAATCAAAAGGTTCTTGGCTCAGTCCCTGAGGCTTTGCAGTTGCTATTTCACACCCAGGCCCCTGTCACGTAATTAGCTAGAACTAGTTTATATGGCTTCTTAAAAAATGAAAATCTCTTTTGCTTGTTTATGCAGGCTACCAGCCAGTGTGCTTCTGGCTACACTGCTTTCTATCTGGAGCAATTCCTTTGAAGTCACTGGGGTTGCACTACATTAACACTGGAGTACCTAGAGCAGAATTTATCCTTTTAGCTGAGCTTAATAGTTTTGATGTATATCTTCCGGTCACAGTGCTTTGAAAAATGTACTAAAAAGCATTTTACATATGGTTATCTTATGTTTGTAATCAGGCCGCTAATCTGTGTCTCCATACAAAGTTTGCAATTATTAGCTTTAAATGCATCCTTTTTTTTTTTCTTCCCCCCCCCCCCCCCCCCCCCCCCCCCCCCCCCCC